AAAATCTCGAAATTGCAAATCAGGTCCTTCAACTTTCATTTAGTGCAATTTGGTCCTTAAAATTTGACTTTTATTACATTTAGGCCCTTCCATAATTGCACTTCAAGTCCTTTTCCTTCTCTTTTTGCTCGTTATACTTCTTTTCGGGGTTTTAGCCTACAAAAGTAACAATTACACAATTATAAATATAAATCTACTCAATTTTATCAATAATAAAGTCCCAAAAAGTGCTAAATAAGTGTGTAAAAACACACTCATCAGAAGTCCAGAGGCCCCAGAGGAAGAACCGGCAGCCGGAGTGAAAAACTTCACGTCAGTAAAGTAGGGATATTTTTGTAATAGCTTTGGCCTTCCTTTTTGTAACTTGATTTAAAATTAATGGAATGAAAATTTTTCTTTCAAGTAATAGTGCTTCTTCCTTTTTCTTGTGTTGAACTATTTATACTTGAGTAAATGAATGATAAGCACTTAAGCAATCATTAAGCACCACTTTCCAATAACCGAACGTTAAAAGGAGATCGGATCAATAACATATTGAAGAACTGAGGCAATAACTCATTAACTGATGTGACACAAAGAACTGAAGTATCATTACTTAGAAGTTATATCATCCTTCACTAAGAAAATTTTAGCACTTGGTAAGATAGGAAAGTTACAAATGAGATCGGATCATGACAAACACTTATTAGACAACATGGAGATCGGATCGGAACATACATTATTTATTGATAGTACTTCCTCAAGTGTTTAATGTTCCATTGATGAAGCAGTACTCCCCCTATCATGGCTTCAATTTCAAAAGTACCATGTCGGGACTCCTTGTAGATGCGATGAGGACCTTCCCAATTCGGTCCAAACACTTCGGCCCCAGTTGGCTTTGATGATTGGAAGACCCTTCTAGGGATGAGGTCCCTCAATCGAAGAGTTCAATTTCTGACCTTGGAGTTGTAATAGCGGGTCATCTTTTTTTTATACTTAGCCAGTTTCACTCGGGAGGTATCCCTCCTTTCTTCAAGGAGGTGGAGTTCGCTCATTCGAGCTTCGTCGTTTTCGATCTCATTGAAGTGTATCCGATGATGCGAAGGGACTCCTACCTCGACCAGGCTCATGGTTTCAGCTCCATAGGTCATTGAAAAAGGTGTCTCCCCTGTCGCAGTTCAGCTAGTTTTGTGAATGGCCCAGTGGACGTGGAGAAGTTCATTGACCCACGCCCCTTTCGAGGTGTCAAGCTTCCTTTTCAGGTTATACTTGATGGTTTTGTTTACTGCCTTAACTTTCCCATTTGCTTGGGGTGATGAGGCGTTGAGAAATCCTTCTTTATCCCTAGTTCGTTGCATAAGTCTCGCATCTTCTTGTTGTCGAACTGTCTCCCGTTGTCAGACACTAAAGAGTGGAGAATGTCGAACCTGCAAATGATGTTCTTCCAGACGAATTTTGTAGTATTCGCCTCAATGATCTTGGCAAGAGGTTCAGTCTCAACCCACTTGGTGAAGTAGTCAATGGTGACAATGGCAAAAGTCGCGCTTCCTCTTCCTTTTGGGAGCGGACCAATGAAGTCGATGCCCCAGTTGGCGAATGGCCATTGACTAGTGACTACGGAGAGGCTCTAAGAAGGCTGTCTTTGAATATTTGAGAAGCACTGACACTTATCACATTTCTGAACGAATTGGCAAGCATCTCTTTTCAGGGTTGGCCAGAAGTAGCCTTGTCGGAGTACTTTGTGTGCCAAAGCCATTCCTCCAGAGTGATTTCCGCAGATTCCCTTATGGATCTCCCTGAGTATATACATGGCTTCTTTCCCTCCTACACATTGGAGAAGTGGTGAGGCAAAGCCTTTTTGTAGAGGACATCCTCTTGTAGGACGAAGTGCGCAGCCCTCTTTGTTAACTTCCTCACCTCGCTTCTCGAAGCTGGTAGTGATTATCCTTAAGATAGGCCATGATGGGTTACGTCCATAATGGGGTATTTTCTATCCATAACAGCTCTTCACCTCCGGAGATAGAGAGCTTTGACAAGCGTTCAATGGGGACAATCTTTAGTAGCTCTGAATCTTTACCGCTGGCCAATTTTGACAGGGTGTCTGCATGAGTGTTCTCAAGGCGTGGGAGTTGGATCAATTCAAACCTTTCGAAATGAGGGACTAGGTCCAGGACCAATTTTAAATATGCAGCCATGCTACTGTCTTTGGTGGCAAAGTTCTCGTTGACCTGACTTACCACAAGTTGAGAGTCGCTGCTTGCCAGGAGCCTTCTGACTTGCATTTCTTTCGTAAGTCTAAGTCCTGCTAGAAGGGCCTCATATTCGGCAGTGTTGTTCAAGGCTTTGAAGTCGAACCTTACTGCGCAATTTAGCTTGTGGCCTTCCGAGCTTTCCAAGACGATCCTAGCTCCGGAGCCAGTTTTTCCTGAGAATCCATCCACGAACAGGTTCCATGTTGGGGGCTCAGTTAGTTCCATTGTCACCTCCACTTCTGGGGATATAGCAAATTCAGCCACAAAATCTGCAAAGGCTTGTCCCTTGATGGCATGTCTGGGTCGAAACAGTAGGTTGAACTCACTTAGCTCGATTGCCCATTTTAGCAAGCGGCCCGAAGCATCCGTTCTCTGTAGCACATACTTTAATAGGAAGTTGGTGAGAACCTCAATTGAATAGGCCAGGAAGTACGGCCTCAGTTTCCTTGATGCCATGATAAGGGTGAGTGCCAGTTTTTCCATGTCCAGATAGCGTATTTCTGTTGGGAGTAGTGCTTTGCTGACATAGTATACCGGCAATTGGTGCTCGTTTTCTTCTCTAACTATGACTGCGCTGACCGCCTCGTCTGAGACCACCAAGTATAGCAATAGTGATTCCTGTGGTTTAGGTTTGGATAACAGAGGCGCCTCTCCTAAGTGCTTCTTTAGCGCTTGGAAGGCTCCCTCGCACTCACCGATACATTGGAGCTTCTTTCCTTGCTTCAACACTTTGAAGAATGATAGGCTCTTATCAGTGGCTCTGGAGATGAAGCGACTGAGTGCGGCTATCCGACCATTGAGGCTTTGGACCTCATTTGGCTTTTAAGGTGACCTCATTTCCAGTAAGGCCCTAATCTTTATCGAATTTGCTTCGATTCCCCTTTGGTTCACAATGTATCCCAAAAACTGACCTGAAGCCATGCCGAAGGTGCATTTGAGGGGGTTCAACTTCATTTTATATTTTCTAAGAATTTGAAAGGTTTGGTAGAGGTGACTTACATGTTCATTCGCCTGGAGGCTTTTAACTAGCATGTCATTCACGTAGACATCCATGGTTTTGCCAATGAGTTCGGCAAACATCATGTTGATCAGCCTCTGATATGTAGCTCCGACATTTTTCAATCCGAAGGACATGACTTTGTAGTAGTATGGTCATCTGTTTGTGATGAACAACGTGGCCTCCTCATCAGGTCAAAACATGGGTATCTGGTTGTACCCTGAGTACACGTCCATGAAACTCAAGAGTTCATGTCCAGCAGTGGAATCCACAAGTTGGTCTATCCTCGGCAGTGGGAAGCTATCTTTAGGGCATGCTTTGTTTAAGTTTGTAAAGTCTACACACACCTCCATTTCCCGCTAGGCTTCTTCACAAGGACCGGGTTGGATATCCACTTTGAATATACGGATTCTCTGATGAAGCTACTGCGGCTAAGCTTATTGACTTCATCTTTGAGAGCCTCGTACCTTTTCGGTTTGAGGGCTCGTCTTTCTACCGATGTGGGGCATAGGAGGGGTTCATGTTAAGGCGATGGAAAATGATCTTTGGGTCTATTCCCCCCATGTCTTCGTGCTTCCAAGCGAAGACATCCAAATTCCTTTTCAGGAAGCCTATCATTTCTTCTTTCGCTTCGAGGGACAGTGTCTTTCCAATTCGCAAGATCTGACTAGGGTCCTCTGGGTTGACAGAGAAAGTTTCAAGTTCCTCCATTGGGGTCGCATTTGGTTCTGAGTCAGTTATTCGGGGGTCTAACTCATCAAGAGGGTTCCCTTCTTCAGGGGCCTCTTTTATGTCGAAGTCTTCCTCCTGTTCGGGGGTATGCCCTTGTTCAGGGGTGTCGAGCATTTTCATGTCCAAGTCAGCTTCATTCGCAACCTCTGTTATGATCACATTAACAGTGCAGGGCTCTGATTTCTGAAGAGAATTTAGGCAACATACTTTGAAGCCCATCTGGTCGCCTTGGACCTTAGCAATTCCATGCTCAGTTAGGAACTTCATACACAAGTAATGGATGGAGGTGACAACCCAAAGATCTTTCAAGGCGGGTCTGCCCAATGCTCAGTGGTAGGCTGATCTATGGTCTACTACCAAGAATTTCATGAAATGTTGGGCCACCACGGGAGCTAAACCCATCTCGACGGGCAGAGTAATTCGTCCTCATGGGACGATGCAGTCTCCAATAAATCTAAATAGTGGGTTAGTAATGGGGATTAACCCATGTTCAATTTACATTTTGTTGAAGGTAGAGCCAAACAGTGTATTCACGGAGCTGCCATTATCGACGAGCATAGGCTTGAGTCCATTTCTTGCCACTACGACTCTTACTCTCAACGCGTCACAATGGGGGTGGTGAATTCCTTGTGCATCTTCTTAGGAGAAGATAATTGGGGCTATCCTGTTGGCTTCTTGGGACTGGTTGACGATGTACGTGAGCATTGATGGATCCTTTGCTCCCCTTGTGTAGTTTCTTTGAGCATTACTAGTGTTGCCATCGATGTGAAGTTTCCCAATGATCGTGTTGATTTCTCTAATGATTTGGCCTCCAAAAAATGGGGCCTGATCTCTCTATCTGGATTCTCCCCCGTTCCTCGATTCTCTTCTTCGGGGTGACTGATTTCTATGCCTCCTCTCTCCCCTGTTCGGGAAGGCGAATCTGCGAGGATTTTCATCTCTTCTAGAGGGATGTGAATTATTTCGATCTAAGCATCGAGAAGCGTCTCTGCATTTGCTGGTGTCGTGTCCATAGAGTTGGTGGAAGGTGCAGAACCTTGCCCCTTCTAAGGGTCTATTTGACCGCTTCTTCTTTTTCTTTTGATTACTGTCAGTATCCCCAGATGGTCCCGCCTCGACAGGGGCATTCTCGTATGCCAATACTGACACTGCATTTAGCGTGGCAGAAGCTAGTGCCTGTTCGGACGTGGGAGCTATTGTATGCCTTGCTTGGGTCCATTGTTGGGTGACAAGGTGCGCTGCAAGTCCTCAACCAACCTACCTCTGAGGCGGAGGGAGTCCCCGCATGGCACGGTTTCGGCGATCAATCATCTCTTCACTGACGATTTCAACTCTCATCATTTCTACCAGTTCCTCATGAGTGGTAGGATTCTTACTACGTACATCCCTCCAGAACAAAGTGTTCATGTTGAGGCCGTCTTTCAAGGCTGAAAGGGCTTCTCTGTCAATGACCTGTTCGTAGTATGTGATTTCATCCGTAAACCTGGCGAGGTAGCTTTTCAACATTTCTCCAAGGGCTTGTCTCGTATCTTACACGCATTGCACTGGGGCCTCTCATTCTCTACGTGAGAGGTACTAGTTCAAGAAGGCCTTTTTCAACTCTGGCCAACTCCTAATGCTTAGGTGAGGCAGCTTGTTGTACCACACTTCGACAGATCCGACCAGGGTTTCAAAGCATGCGAGGCTCCCCTGAGACTCATCTATGCCATGTACTTCGTGAGATGCTTCTTCAGTCCCCTTTTCCTTCATACTTGAGGATTTTAGGGGGCACAAAATTCGCAAGCATTGGGGAGCTTCGGATCTCCCTTGTGAAAGGGATGTTATCATCATCATCATCAATCTCGTAAGATCGACATGACCCTTTGGAGCCCTCATCATCTTGCATGTTCTGGGGATGTGGAGGTGCTCCTCCTCGGCTACCCCAATCAACTAAGTTCATTCTCTCCTTCCTATTTCTAGATGGAAGGGGTGCTTACTCTTGCTCTTGCCCTTGCCAAACTGATCTTTCCACTGAGTGAACCCTATTATTAGGGTCCCGCCCTATCCGGTCAAAGATACTGACTAATCTTTGTGCTTCATATTCTGGTGGGAAGTTGTCCCCCAATTGCGGTTTAGCTGGCTGGCTCCCTTGCACATAGGATGTGACTTCCGTACCCACTTCTCTCTCGAGGGGGCATTCTCTGTGCTGGCTCATATGGCCTCGAGAACGAGACGTAGGGACTTTATGAGCTGGGTAAGATCCTTGGGACATTTGGGCGCCCTGATGACCTCGGGCTCTCTTGAAGAATTAATGCATTGTCATATTCTGAGCTGCAATATCTTTCATGCCCACAGCTATTTGAGTCATTCCTTTATGAGCATGGCCGTTTTGTCACCTCAGCGATATCGGTGATGGGGTCTTTGGTGAGTGACATTGTTTTGGAGCACCTCTTCTTCAGAGGCGTCCATCCTGGGATCTGCGTCCTCATTGCTGGAACTTATCTTATCTACTCCTTTTTCAAGGGTGATAAGAATCTGGATTGTAATTCAACTTTGTTCTTTTTCAAGAACGTGCCCTTTTCAGGGTAAGTCAATGGCTTTCCGGTGGCTTTTTCGGTGGAGAATGTAGAACTTTGGATGGAAAGTTTCCCACAGACGGCGTCAATCTGTTGACCTCGCGAATTGGACCTTCTACGTGGCTAACTGATAGCTATTCCACGTGATCTTCCCTACACACAAACAACATACGGTCAGACACACACGGTCGGAACCAGCTGGGATGCGCATACACTCCGACGGTCAAATTAGTATCCAGTGATCGGGAGAGTGCCCGGGTTGTGCGAGAGAGTGGGGAGGAGATTATATATTTTTTCTTGTTATGAAGAGCTAAGTTGAAAGAGTTTCATTACCTTTTCCTTTCGTCAAACCTTGGGTATTTATAGGTGAGGAGAACCGTTGGATGTGGGACACATATATGCATCTAACGGTGTGAAGAGTTTGCTCATAGGCGTCAATCAGCCGCGTCTATAGAGTGGGTGGGTAATAACTTCTCCTGAGTTGAGTTGATATAAACTTGATACGTCAAGTCAACTAGACCCTTGGAGACGTCAAATCAATTAAGCATTGGGTGCAGAGAGGATCTTAACACAAATCTCTTTCTGAAAGTGGGGCGGAAGGAGAACCTCAGAGTGGATTGCGCTTTAGTGTCAATGACACTTAGGTCGGTTCGGTAGAATTGTTTTGTGCCTCGCAGCGCGTTAGCAGCACACGAACATTGGTGGTGGAGTCACTTCAGAACCACTTCAGGTTGGTGGTGGACACCTCGTATGGTGCAGTGGTAAACTTTCCGAAGTGGATCAGATAGGGGCATAACAATATGTTTTCAAGGTACCAAATCAAACATGTTCTAATTTTTCCTCCAGTTGAGATTCTTTCTCATTCTATCATTTTAGAATAGAGGTATAGAAAACATCAAATCGATGCTTTTACAAAGGAGTTACATGATCCATTGTGAGATATACCACAAACTACAAACTTTGACAGATTTTCCCATAAAAAAAGGTCGGCCTTGCTCCCGAGGACCAACAAATATTGCTTTTGAAACCAATTTTTTTATAAGAATTAATTGACAGATACATGTTCATTGAAAGTGCAAACCGCAAGTGCACGAGACGCTTTCAAGTAATAAAGTGAACGTTTTGAGTCTGGGTTGTCAATCCCTCGAGGAATGTTTACTTTCCATTACACAACTATAATTAATTTAATTCGAACAATAAAAAGAAGCACACACAATAAAAATTATAATTTTGGAAAATAACTAAAAATCTACAAAATAAGAAAATATAAAAATTTTGGGAACTTTCGAAAGCAAACATGGTTGGGATTCATGGTTTCGCTTAACTGTCGCCTAATTAATTTCTCCACAAGTCAATTAACAACTTACTCATTTACGATATTAGACCCGATTTTTCAATTTTAGTTAATTACCTCTCTCGAACGAAATTAACCATAATTGATTGGTTTAACCTACTATATCTCTATGCCGACTAAAATCAAATAACCGCATTATTTTTTTGTGAAAACAACTCAATTGGTCACCTAGGGATAGGGGCATATCTCTATCCACTACACAAACCTAGGATTTCTATTATTTGGTCTAAAATGCACAAACTTCTCTAAAACGATGTACAATTCACTAAACACAATCATTCATTGGTCACATAAATGAAAATGCATAAATACAATAGAAGAAACACATGAAAATAAGCAAATCAATATCAAAGGGCAAATATTAAAATTAATCAAGGCTAGATTAAGTTACAACCATAAATCTCAACGCAATTAA